ATAAAAATACTGGTTAGGGGCCTGGGCAGTGTTCATCAGGGTAAGAGCCAGCTGCTGGAGCAAACCCCACCGTTCATTCCAGAGATGGCCAAGGCCTGCTGAACAGCCCGGGCCACAAATCCCGCATGGCCCAAGGGCTTCCTCTGTGGTCATCCGATCAATGCCTGTTTCCTCTGCCAAGAGTTAATCCTCCTCTGCGGCCACACCACCTTCTTTCTGTCCTAAGCTTTTCCTGCACCTGCTGTCCCCTTAGTCTTCAAACCAGAGGTCGCTCCATCAGTGGCAGCTCTGTGTCCTCAGAGCAGCCTCCCCATGCCCTGGTTCCGCCACTGGCCCTTCTGTCCCCCTCCCGACAGCTGCTTGTGCCAATCATGCACCAGGGTCACAATGGACTGTCAACTGTCACATGACCAATGACATGGGACTAGGAAGTAGAGAGAGTCACTCAAGGGCTAAGGCGGCCTAACAGAGGCGCTCCTCCAGCCTTGTGCCTCTGGTGGGATGTGGCTGTTCAGGACACACTGGAACCCGGGGTCCCCACATAGCAATATGGGGCAGAGCCAGTGACTCCCTCCCCACCAGGGGCACAAACAGACCAGTCTCCACAGCTCATCACCCCTCAGCTCTCACCTCTACAGTCACCTCCAAACACTAAGTTGACAGTCATTCTTTGTAACATCAACCAATTCTGTGTGTGTGTGTGTGGTGGGGTACTGGGGAGTGAATCCAGAACTTCTGCCCCAAGCTACATCCCCAGCCCTTTTTATTTTTTGAGATATGGTCTCACTAAGTTCCCTAGACTGCCCTCAAAAGTGTGATCATCCTCCCTCAGCCTCTGGGTAGCTGAAATTACAAGTGTGCGCCACTTTGCTGCGCGTGTGACTCAATTCTATGCATATTTGGTTTTTCCTTTTAAGTCCTGCGCACATTTCTAAATATCTTCATGAGTTGCTCACCCAACTAGAATGTGAACTCTGTGGGCAAGGCTGCTCCCCTCTTGCCCACGTGCTTAAGATGATTCCTGGCATGTGGCAGAAGGAGTAAACCCAGCCCATGCGCCTCAAAGTCCTGTCTTCAAGCAGGAGAGGTCAATCTTAGTGGTCCGTGGCTCCTCTGAGACCTCGTGGGCTTTCAAAAGCAGCACGCGGAAGCAGGCAGGGGATAATTCTAGGTTGATCTAGACATGAGCTGAGGCTTCCCCCACTGTGTGGCTGGAGAGCCGTCTTGCCGCCTCTCCTGGGTGTCCTGCCACGGTCCACCCCTCCCCCTACCCATAACCCTGTTCTACCCCAGGGGCCACTGAGCTCTGGAGGGAGGCAAATGATGCACAGGGAAGCATTTTACCAGGCAGCACCTCCTTTACTCCACTCTTCCCCTTCCTCCTGCTGTGTGGACAGCCAGTGTGGATGAGCTTCTAGCAGGCCCCGGCCAGCCCTAGTGGGGCTTTGTTCTACTGCTGTGAACAGCTGAATTAGAAAAAGACAGCTCTTGTAGGCACGAGTATCCCTAAAGGTGTGGTGCCTGGCTTAGCAAACTAACCCTGGGCTGTGTTTCGGTCCCTGTGTTAATCCCCTGGCTGGGAGGTTTTTTTTTTTTTTTCTTGGTACTGGGAATCAAACTCACGACCTCAGGGTTGCCAGGCAGGCGCTGTGCTGAGGAGCTATATCCCCGGCCCCAGCTGGGAGTTTTGAGCAGTACACACTGTACGTCTGTCCAAAGTGGCCCTGATCCTGGTCTACCAGGCAACTTTGAGGATGAAAATCGCTTGCAGGCAGAGCTGAAAGACCCAGCCTGGGCCCCCAGTAAGAACTCCCCCACACTGTTCCTGGCTGGCCTTCTCCTTCTCTTTGTTTTTAAATAATCATTTATTTTGAAATGATTTCAACATTTCAGAACAGTTTCAAAAGCCACACCAACAGCTCCCCTTCACTCAGACTGACCATGTGGTGCCATTCCCTGCCACCTGCTCTGCCGTCCTCCCCTGTCCCCCACTGCCTCTTTATGGGCATCTTCAGAATCACTGCAGGGTCTTTGGCAAACATTACCCACCACCCCTCTGCCATCCACATGCCATCCATAATGGCCTCTGGCTTCTGAAGGAAAATGTGAAACCATTCTTCACACTGTTTATTTTGCTGTTCAGTTATACTGTAAGGTGCTAAATTAATTTTAACTGCCACCCTCCGCAGTACTATGGCTGGTAACATTCAGACCACCATGTGAGCCTGGAAGGAAACCTGACATTGTGACCAGGGCCTCCCTGGGCACGCTCCATTCAACTGTGTCATACTATGGCCGTGACACGGAGGCTCTCATGTGCTAAGGCCACACTCACCCCTGAGACGCCCATATATGGACACAAAGTGGCCCTCATCTGTGAGGTCCTGGCTACTTTGACTTCACAATGTCCTGGGGTCTATAAGAGGCCCAGGGCTCGGCTCGGGCTCACAGCCCACCAAGTTCCACCTCCTCACAGGTTGGCTGGCTCAGCAGAGGTGGTGACCCCTGTTCTGAGCCAGGTCCAGGCCAAGTTCATCTAGTGCCATGGCCAGATACAGATGCTGCCGCAGCCCAAGCCGGAGCAGATGCCGCCGCCGCAGACGGAGATGCCATAGACGAAGGAGGCGGTGCTATCGGAGACGGAGACGTAAGCGCGGGTGCTGCTGGGGTGAGGGGCTGGGGCTCCATGGGGCCCGGATGTTCTCTCAACGCCTCTTGTGCCCCTAGGGTGCTGCCGCCGCAGGTACACCCGGAGGTGCAGAAGACACTAACTGCAGAAAAGCACAAGAGCAAGTCCACTGAACTCCTGCTGAGAACTTTACCAGACCACAAGACCGTCTTCCACCTCGTGACAATGCCACCTTGCACTGAAACAGGAGCCTGCTAAGGAACAATGCCGCCTGTCAATAAATGTTAAAATCATCCCACTCACGCCTTTGTCCTTGCTGGCTCAGGGGAGAGGGCTGGTCGGGTGGCAGAAGGGCGTGGGGATGGCGCAGAAAAGATGCTGGGAAGGGGGACGCGAGTGACGGTTGTCACAAGGGATTGTCTTTAACAGTGATGCGACGTGAGGAAAATCTGCCACCCAAACTACCTACTACTCCGACCCTGGTGCTAGGTCAAGTGCCTTTGAGGGCCACTGTTGTTCCCCTCTGTTGTGTGCTCGCACCTGGCGGTGAGCCACACTGGAGGATTTATACCACCAGCAGCAGAAGGGCCATCAGGGCCTGTTAAACATCTGCCAGCTCGGTACTCCTTAAACGCTGCCCCTAAAGTGCCACACAGGTTTAATTCAAAGCTAAAATCCTGATGGTTCCTTTGGTTATGCAGAGAACAAGTCATCAGAGTCATGAAGTGCAAAGATTTTCATTCATTGAGCAGCCCTCAATTCTAAGCTTGTGTCCCCATTTGAGAGCAGTAGCAACTTGGCCAGGCAGCTCCCCTGCCCTCCCATTCAGTCCTCAAGTACCTGAAGGAAGTTGAGAGCCCTGTGTCCATGAAATCTCGCCCAGCAGAGCTGCCTGACCCACAGGACAGCCTGCAGCCACACTCCTGGGCGAGCCTCGGAGAACCCTGGTGATGCTGGGTATGCAGCACAAGATGGGACCAGATGCAGGAAATCCTAGGACTCTAGGCTCATGGGCCCAGTCATGGGCTAGGAAAGCCCAGCCTCAGACCTGGCACAGACCCTGTGTTACAATCACTTCCTGGCACTAAAGCCAGCCAGGGATTTTATGCGTGATCAACCAGAGCTCCAGGACCAGTTCCTAAAAGGGGTCAGACCTACCAGAGCCTGGAAGTCTCCAACTTCTGCTTGGGGAGCCCCACCGTGCACCAGCCTTCGGTCCTCAGCAGCTCGCGAGGCAGGGGTCAGCAGGCTGCATCCCCAAGACAGCATTCTGGCCCCCACGGAGGCTGGAGCTCAAACTAGTTCCACCAGGCCTCTTGGGACCCCACACACTCCAGTGAGGCCTTCCCAAGCTGCGCAGGAGGAGGACAGTAGGCCTGTGGGGGGGTAGACCCCTGGGCAGACATTTTGGGGATTTTTTTTTTTTTTCTTCTATTTTGATCACATCTCTAGCCATGGAAAGACGAACCTAGCTAGGCATTCATATCTTTACCAATTGTCTGAGGGGAGACTTATAAAGTTCCTTGGTCCTGAAAGGGAGCAGCATGTAAACTTGAATGACTTAAACCAACACAAGTTTATTATCTCACAGTTCTGCAGGTCAGAAGTCCGAATGGGACTCAGGGGCTAAAGTCAAGGTGTCGTGGGATGAGCCTGTTTTCTGGCCTCCGGCATCAAGTGCCGTTCTCCAGACCAGCAGCACAGCTTCTATCTTTCTTCCTGGGTTTCTCCTCTCATAAGGACCTTTGTGACTGCACAGGACTGACCCAAGTGACTAGGATCCACTCCCCACTGTAAGATCCTTAATCATAACTGTAAAGTGCTTTTTGCAAATGGAAGGTAACATGTCCACAGGTTCATGGATTAGGATGGAGGCACCTTGGGAGGTGTCACCATGTTCCCCCTTCTCTCCACAAGAGAGAAACCAGGACCACACCTGCTCTGCCCTCCACGAGAGAGAAACTAGGTTTCAGTTGCCACAACTCTCTTCCGGTTTTCAGTGATCATCACAGTACGAAAGAACAAATGCTACCCAGTGTGCCCAGGTATGAAGACACTCCCTACATGCTGGGATCATGTAAAACCTAAGAGTCACCTGTGGCACACCACCAAGGAAGTGGGGAATCTTCTAGAATGATTACCTATGAATTGCCACCACTGGGCAGGATGAGGATTGGGTGTGGACAAGAAGAAGCTTCCTTCTTGTGACTGAGGGCCCCACCTGCTACCAGAGAACACCAGGGCCTCTGGGCCAGGACTGCAACCCCCTGCCCTGACTGCCCTCACAGAGGGTCCTGGGCAGAGCGGGGACAATGATGGGATGGGCTGCCAGGTCACAGTGGGGGCCCCCTTTATATACGAGCCCCGAGTGCCCCACCAACCAGACCAACCAACAGCAAGAGCAGGTGGGCAGGCCTCAGCCCTCCTCCCCAGGTCAGCTGCAGCCTCAGCCCGGAGCCACCCAGCTGCCCATCTCCCGGCACGATGGTCCGCTGCCGAGTGAGGAGCCCCAGCCATCACCCTCACCAGGAGTCTGGTGAGGGCCAGCAGCAGGAGCAGGGGCTGAGCCCAGAGCACGGGGAGGCCTACGGGAGGACACACAAAGGTCGCTACCACAGGCGCAGGCGCTGTTCTCGGAGGAGGCCATACCGGATCTACAGGCGGCACAGGTCCTGCCGAAGGCGCAGGAGACGCAGCTGCAGGAGACGCAGCTGCAGGAGGCGACGCCGAGGTCTGCCTGAACTCCGCCCCATCAACCCCAGGCCCTTTGCACCTATGCTGCTGCACAGCAGAGCAGGAGGGAGGCTGGGGTTCCACTGTTGTCTGAGCCTAAACCCCATCCCCACCCAGATCCCCCCAATGACCCCAAATCAACTTTTCTTCCCAATAGCCTGCAGAAGACGCAGGAGGAGAAGATGCGGGAGGTACCACTAAACCTTCCCGGGCCCTGCTGGAAGCTACAGAAGTCACCTGCTCAAGAAACAGTGCCATAACACCCCTCCGTTGATGCCTAAACCCTGAGTTTCCAAGGACCCCAGAAGATCTGAGTAATGAGCACAGTCACCTGCCAAATAAAGCTTGACAAAGAACTCACTGACTACAAGGTCTTCTTTGTGCAGGCAGCGCTTCTGGGGGGCTGGATGAAGCTCTTTCTGGGTCTGGGAGGATGGGTTCCTAGGCAGTGGCTTGTGGTGCAATCCTGTCCTTTCTGTCATACATCCCTTCACCGTGCCAGAGGTCACATTATTGAACCTGAACACATTGTGTTTACCTGCCCTTTCAGGGATAGTGATGTGACATTTATTCCTGTTCAGGGTAGTAAAAAGCCACCTTTATTAATGGGGAGCAGAAAATAACTGCAGCCCTGAGGTGGAAAACAGGTCTGAGGTGCTCCAGCAGGAATGAAAACACAAGGCCAGGGGTAGGAGGGGCCAGGCTGGGTGTGCCTGTGTCAGGTGCGGGGAGGATTCACTCCGGCTTGTGGCTGTTCTCCCACTGTGTGAGACTTGCCAGAGGGCCATGTCTCCCCACCTCAGATCCTTTGGAAACCTGTGAGAGTCACTACAGAAATTGATCTGAATGGATTTCTATGGGGCTGGGGATTTAGCTCAGGGACACAGGGCCCACCTGGCAAGCGCGAGGTCCTGAGTTTGATTCCTGGTACTGGAAAAACACACACACACACACACACACACACACACACACACACACACAAATGGATTTCTAGCACTCAGCAATGACCAACCACTCTTATGACGGAGATCCTTAGCTCTTGCCTGTGCAAAATCATGTGATGTGGGCACAAGCAGCTTGCCCAGGGGCACTTCCAAGACACTTTAAAAGCATCCCCCAAAGCTCATGAGCTGCTGCCTTTCCAGATGTTGGACCACACTTTCTGGAGCACTGGGGATAGGGCCAGGGCACTGTGCATGCTAAGCACTGCACCCCAGTCCTGCAAGGGTTCTTATGTTATATATAACTCAAGGGGATAGTGCAGGCAGGCCAAGAAACCCATCGTTCCTGCCCCACCAGAAGGCTCCCTTGTGCCTCTCTACCTTAAGGCAACCACTACTCTGACCGCATCTTTGCAAAGTATCAGCGGCTCTCTGCTGGACATTTCTGGGACATGCCTCCTGCTTCCAGAAATTTTACCCCAAAGTCTCATTCCAGCAAAAGAGAGGACTTTCCCCTGACAGATGAGGCTGAGGGGGGAGGGGGCTGGGGTGACTGAAGGGAGTGGGCTTCAGGAGCCCTTTGTGATGTCAGCGCCCCATGCCCCACCCTCAAGGCCCTGTGCTCCTCCCAGCTGCCTCCCCTTCTAGTCTGGAGAGAGCCAAGGAGAGCAATGGGTTCCCGCTGCACCAAGCTCAGCACCGGCCACGGCACAGGCCACGGCACGAGCCACGGCAGGGGCCATGTCAGGGGCCACGAATCCACCATGAAGAAGCTCCTGGCCTGCGTGAGTCAGGATAACTTCTCCTTGTCATCAGAGGAGGAAGAGGAGGAAGAAGAAGAGGAGGAGGAAGAAGAAGAAGAGGAAGAGGAGGAGGAGCAGCTCCCGGTGAAGGGCAAGCTGTTGCTGATGGAGCCCGGGCAGGAGGAGAATGCTGAGGACAAGCCCGAGGCCCAGCAGAGCCCTGAGCCCAAGCAGACGCACTCCTGACCCATGAGAACGTCCCAGTGAGGGGTGCTGCTGCCGTTCCTGTGAGAACTTTCAGAAAAGAGTCAATAAAAAGTCTCCAAGGAGCCCTCCTCTCTGGTGTCCCTTCCCCTCCCAGGTGTGTGCAGTGTGAGTGTGCCTGTGTGGGTGTGAGGCTGAGGGTGTGGGGACGATGGCCTTGTCTCTGCTCTTCTCTGCTGCAGGAGGTGGAAGCGCCTGGTAGCCTTGTCTTGAAAGCTGTTTCCAGGCTGGGAAAGGACAGACAAAGCAGGATAGAAAGATAAAACACAGAAAGGAGGAATTAGTTCTGTTTTCCCTAGCACAGTAGAGTAACTACCTATTAAAGCAGCTTATGTCATACTCCAGGTGACTAGAGAATAAGAATACAAAAGTCTCAACACATTAAAATGATTAAATCTGGTTTTTGTTTTGTTTTGTTTTGGTTTTTCTTCCTGTACCAGGAATCAAATTCATGACCTCGCGCTTGCCAGGCAGGCGCTGTGCCGCTGAGCTAAATCCCCAGCCTCCAAAATGATTAAATCTGAAGAAAAGGAAATGTTTATTATTTGGATTTGATTATTATACATCATGTACATGTGTCAAATCACCAAACTATACCCTATAAAGGTGTATGAATATTATCTCAATAAAAATTAATTACTAAATTAAACACAAAGTCATCTTGGCCATCCCTTCTCTGGATGGGGGTCTCTCTGCACATTTGGTGAGAGCACCCAGAAGGACCCCATCCCGCTGCTCTGAGCACAGACACTGGTTTCCCGAATAGCACTGGTTGGGGAGTGCCGCACACCTGGGCTTCAGTTTCTTTTCTGCTGGCCCAAGACCTTCAGCAAGTCACTGCCTCCGAGCCTCTGCCTGCCCCCGCTGCTTTCTTGAGGCTCGTTGCCACCCATGGCCATGAGTGGGGCATTAACCAAGATGCCAGTAGGACCATGCCTGGCATGGACAGAGTGTCTAACTACTACAGGCATTGCCACCGGGCTCCCGCAGGTCCCATCTACCTCCCAGGCAGCTCTGGCTGCTCACCTGGTTCTGCCACTATCCTCACACACTGGGGCCCTCTGCATCCACAGAACGGCTCGCTCCTGTCTCCCTCCCACTGGTCCACTGGCAGCAAGGACCACATCCCTGAGTGCATCGGACCGCCAGGCTCTGGTCCTCTAGCCAAGTTTCATCAAGAAGCTGCCAGCGTCTGCTGCGCACCTATCCCAGCTCCCATACTCCTATCACTCAAAGGAAATGACCAGTGGGGTCCACCTGTTTCCTCACATTTCCTAAGCAGCAGCCATGTGGCCCCAGAAGGACCTGGCATAGCAGTGGGGTGGGGAGCAGGGCCCTGCTGAGGGCTGGGGTCCATGGGCTGGGGCCTGGGGATGGTGGTACAGTGGAAGGGCTGTTGTCCTATCACCCCCACCTCACCCCTGCAACAAGGGACACTGGCTGGCCAGCCTCATTCTCTGGTCCAAATCCCTTAAGCTCACCTGCCTGCTCATTTTCCCAGCCATGCCAGTGTCCAGGGTCCCTGATGCAGGTCCTGCTCTGCTGGGCAGCCCATAGTGGGGGCTGGGGGTTGGAGAGGTTCTGGGGAGGAGGAGCTGGCCCTGACAGCTGGCAGCAACCTCCTCTTGAAGGTGGAGAAGTGAGTGGGGGGTCAGCAGGGAGGGGTGGGGGCCCTGGAGAGGGCCAGAGATCCAGAAAGCAATCACAGTGTGGCCCAGTGTACTTCCCGTGAGAAACCCGCAGAGCTCTACAGCAGGCAGGGTCAGCAGAGCAGAAATCTGCATGCCTTCTGCAACCCCTGCCGGTCTAACAGTGACTACAAGGGACAGCTAGACCCAGATCTGAACATGGCTCTGTGACTGATGAGTTCTCGGCCTCTAGGCTGGTTGCTCAGCCTCTGTGAGCCTGCTCCCTCGGTAATCACCATACCGACTCACAGGGTGCTTAAGTCTCATAGGGCTGTTGTGTTACATCTGAAGCCACCAAAAACAGATCTCACAGTTTGAGAGGTTAAAAGACTAGAATTGGCTGAGAGTGGTGGCACACACCTGTAATTCCAGCACTTGAGAGGCTGAGGCAGGAGAATGCCACGAGTTCAAGGCCACGCTGGACTACATAGTGAGTTTAAGGCCAACCTCAACTATATAGTGAGACCCTGTCTCAAAAAAAAAAAAAGAAAATCTGGAATGAAGGCGTCTGAAGGACCCTGCTCCTCTCCCCAAGGAGAAGCATTCTTGTCTATTCCAGTTCTCAGGGGCTGCAGGAGGGGCTTGGCTGGTGGCTACAGAACTCCACCCTCTGTCTTCTGTGTGTGTGGCCTTCTTGTATCAGCTCTTCCATCTTCTATAAGGACATCTGCCAATGGATGCAGGCCACACCCAATGATCCAATTCATCTCAAGACTTTTAGTTAAGCTAAATTACATCTGCAAAAACCCTTAGTCCAAACAGGGTCATGCTGGCTGATTTCAGGGGTTACATGGGCACAGATTTGGGGTCACCATTCGTTCCATACCACAGTGTCACTGAGGCTCCTGGACAAGGCCGCCTGCAAAGTGTGGCCAGCCCAGTGAGCAGAAAGGGCTCGTAAATCAGGTGATTTCCACCACAGACGACTTGACATGTTTATTAAGAAACAGATTTACATAAAAGCCGCCATGGTAAACGCACACAGCAAGAGGCAAAGTTACACTTGGGCAGCAAAGTCAGAAGTGGGCTCAGAGCTTCAAGGAGGGCAGTGGGGGCCAGGGAGACAGGGACCCCAGGAGGATGAGGGGCCAACGTCCATGCGTAAGGATGGAGGTGGCTCTGGGTGGACTCCCTAAAGACCAAGTTGGGCAAATGGCCTCAAGTTTCAGCAAACAACCAGGCTTTCTCGCAATGCTGGGGTGTCTGAGCAGGGCCATCAGGAACGAAACTGCACAGAGAGGCTTCATGAGAAGCGATGGTGGGGTGAGGAGGCAGATGGCACTCAGGGCCTCCCGGGGACTGGCTGGCATCATGGTTCACCAGAATGCCAGGGAAGAAGGAAAGATGCCCCTCTGTCATATAAGGAAACCAAACCTTGTTAACCATGACAACCTACCCCGGACCAGACATCAGTGCAAATGGGGACTTGAGCCTGCCTCTGAGACCCTAGACTTGAAATCTTCTGGGACTGCTCATCAGCCATTCAGTTACTCTTGTCATCCAACTGATAAGTCATCCAGCCTGCTCATCACCTACCTGGGTGGACACTAAGGGTCCAACTCCTACCCACCACCCACCACTCACCGGGGTCCCTGATGGAAAAGCACAGGAGCAGTGCTGTAGCTGGCATCTACTGGGCTCTGACTCTGAGATGGGCCTGAGTGAACTGCTTGACTAGATTCTTTCCATTAATTCTTCCAATCTCCCATGAGGTGGGTGAAATTATTATCCCCATCCTATAAAGAAGGGGAGATTGGGGCTTGGAGAGGTGAGTGTCCAGGGCTGGAAATAAGGAGCAGAGGTGAGGCATGGACTTGGCTCCCTCAGACATCAGGGCTTCAATGCTTCACTGGCAGATGGGGCAGAAAACCCCAGAGTGTCCCTGAGAGCTGCCCCACCCTGGGGCTGAGGGCAAAGGGCAGGGGCTTTGTCCCTACCAGTCACATCTGTTACCCTCTGTGGCCTGTGCCATCACAATCAGCCTGACTATATAACTAGGGGCTGTGGGGGCCCCTGTGAAGCTGGGCCAGCTGGGAAAGGAGGCCCCTGCAGGTGTGGCCTCCACAGATACCAGGATGCCAACCCTTCCCACCACTCAGCCCCAGCTCCACAGCATCTCTCAGCCTCAGGGTCATACCTGCAACCAGTGCAGCTGCAGCCAGCAGTGCAGGGGCTGCCTCCAGAGCCTGCCCAGCCACCATAGCCCACCTGGCCCTGTGAGCCGGAGCCCCACTCCCAGGCCCAGCTCCAGCCCCAGGCCCAGCTCCAGCCCCAGGCCCAGCTCCAGCCCCAGGCCCAGCTCTAGCCCCAGGCCCAGCTCTAGCCCCAAGCCCAGCTCCAGCCCCAGCCCCAAGCTCAGCCCCACCCCCAGGCCCAGCCCCAAGCCCAGCCCCAGGCCCAGCTCCAGTGCCAGCCCACCACCTCGGCACCACAGACAGCCCATGAACATCCGCCAAGCTCCTGCTGGGACCAGCCTCCACCGCAGGCGCTCCAGCAACAGAAAGAAGACCCTGACAAGGAAGGTAAAGAGAAAGGTGGCCAGGAGGAACATGAAGAGATACAGATCAAAGAGGCGGAGCTCAGGTACTACTCCAGTAGGTGGGAAGGTTCTGGGCCCAGAGAAAGGGGGAACTTAAGTTTGGGGCAGTGAGGTGGACACCAGATAACAGGAACCATGGGCAAGGGTAGAGAGAAAACCAGTGTACATGGCAGGTTGAATGTCCAACACACTGATGCCCTGGGTCTTTGAATACATGGGACAGGCTGATTGGGAGACACAGGCTGAGCGGGTCAGTAATTTGCTAGGTTGGTTAGGTAGATGGCTAAGCAATAGAAGGGGATGGATAGATGCATTGGTGGAATGATAGGAAAGTTGTATGGATGTGATTCACCGTATGGCTGTGACACTTGGATAAATGGATTAACTGATGCATTAGCTGGTTAGACAACTGGTTAGATGGTTAGATAAGGCTGGGAAGATATCAGAGGTTGGATGAACTGGTTGCATGTGGTTGGCTAGTTGGAGCAACTGAACGGACTGAATGGAAGACCTAATACAGTAGGAGGGAGAGAATAATGTTGGATGGATGGAGAGAATGAGTGAACTAATGAATGAGGAGATAAATGGAAGGGATGATGGATGGATTCACATGTCAAAAAGACCTTGATGATAGTTTAAGCTCTACCTCTTGATGTCCATATTCAATTACAAATAAGCAGTTAAGGTTTAAAGGATGGAGTTCAGTGATGTCAGGCAGAGCTTAGCTATTAAAGGCCCCTTTCCCACCCCTTTGTCCTCTAGGGCGAAAACACAACTGAGACAGCCTTTCTGGTTCCTTCCTGTGTCAGTTTCACCCTAAGGAGAAATGCCATCACTGTATGCCATGATAAAGTCCAGGAACACATTACCATAGTGATCTCTATGCAACAAGGATTAAAGCTTGAACCCTGGAAGACTATTCTTGAGTTAGTATTTCAATTCCCCTAATAAAGGTGTCAAATGTTATCGTGTTTGGTTTGAGACAGGTCTCATTCTGTAATTCAGGTTGTCCTTGAACTCATACATAGCCCAGGCTGGCTTGAAACTCTCCACAATCCTACCTCAACCTCCTGTGTGTTGGAATTACAGGCATGCGCCACCACACATGGCTGGTGTCACATGTTTTGGGGCCTGGTTTGGAAGCACAAAACAGGGAAGAAGTGACAGGGGGAGCACAGACATCCCCGTGATGGAACCTTATGAAAGTGTTAACTCACCAGAAAACCACCTCTGGGCCATATCCTGTTGTCATAAAATCACTGAAGGTAGGAGACCTCCTGTTAGACATGGTTTGTGCTTCACAGAAGGAAGCAGACTGGTCATGTGTGGTTTACAGAACCATCTTTAAACCCATGTTTCCCAGAAGCCAATACTAAGACAAAAGTGGCATACACACTCAGTCACATACACAAAAAGCCGTACAAGCCCAGTCAGAGACCTACATTCACACGCGGACCCTGCTGCTCGCACGGACAGCCACACATGCACACACGCATCCAGACATGCACACGGCGCACACAGACCAGCACTTGCAGCACTCACCCTCTCTCGAACATAATGACAGGAAAAAAAGTCAAACCAGAGATTTCATTCATGTGCTCAGTCTGGGATGGAATGGCAGTGGGGTGGGGGCAGGCCAACTGGAAACCCAAATTTAGAAAATGGAAAAACATAAATTCAGCTGCCAGGAGAGTCTGAGGATTATGAAAGGGGACCTATTTTTTTCAATTGGTCCACATTTGTAATAATGATTACATTCATCATGGGGAGTTGGTACATGTGTATAATATCTTTTTATAATCCCCTTCCTCTTTTCCCTCCCTCTGCATCTCATATTCCATACGTACATATATATATATATATATATATACATACATATAGAAAATAATGATCACCTTCCTTATAGGGACTTGGTGCACACACACACTTCACAATTCTGCAGGGGACCTCTCTTGACTGAAAGTTGAAGGCTGTAAGTTAGGTGGGGGTAGTGGGAATAAGTAGCGTGTGGAAAATGAAACTCAGCTTGGCCCATGGTCACTAAGGGTCACTAAGGGAATGTTGTCCTGGGATGGGTGGGGCTGGGGAAGCAGTCATGGAAAAAGGCAACAGACCCTGGTTGAGGTAAGATTCAAAGGAAAAGCACCTCAACTCTCCAGCCACGCAGCTCCAAACCCCAGCACCCCCACTACTTGCCCTTGCTGGGTGACCCCAGGTGGCACTCAGCCTCTTTGGTCTTCCTCACTTGTATCTCACATTTTGTGAAGACTTGGGGCCCCTGTGTTTATCTGCTTATCGCCACATCTCTACTACTGATCATGGTGTCTAGCTCATATTAGGAGCTTCGTAAGTACCTTAGTAATAAGTGAAAGATGGAGCAGACTTTATTTGATGATTCTACTTGTAAAATCATCAAATAGGCAAAAATGCAAAGTGTTTGATAATAACAAGTACTGGCAAAGGAACGGGGAACACATTGCTGAGTGTCGCTGCTGAGGTGGAAAGGCGCCCAGGTGGAGCAGCAGGCATCAGAGCAGGGTCTGCTGACATTTAAAGTGGGCCAACTGTTTTTCATACATGTGCCCCATGAACCTGTAAGGGAGGTTCAGGACCACATTGTTTCTAAGAGCACAAAACGTCACCTGTGTGAACCCAGTAAACCCAAGGAGTCCCCTGTGACGAATCTCAGTCTTTTAAATGAGTGCAGGGATCTACACATGATCTCTCTAGACGGCCAGCACACGCTGTGGGGTGAAAAGGGTGGGAGGAAGCATATGGGGGGGGCAGGAATCCCACACAAGCAACTCTACATTCAGAGGTAAAAACACTTTTGCATATGAATACAAGAAAAGTTGTACAATGCCACATACTAAGCCAGGGAAAACGTCTTATTTTACATGAGGCATGGGACTATCAGCGAAAGCATCCGACTCATCTCAGCAAAGCTCTGTGGAACCTGAAGAGACAGCACAGGTATGTGGAAGCCAAGGCAGTGGCCTTTGGGGCTGCGGGCAAGGTGGTCAGAAGGCTGCACCGCCCCAGGGCAGGGGGAGGCCAAGCCCAGCCTCTTCCTACACGCCAGCCCTCAGGCCTCTCCTGCAGCTCAGTCTCAGCTCTGCTGCTCTTGTCCTCACTCTCCTGCCTCTAAGAGGCTGAGGCAGGAGAATCACAAGTTTAAGACCAGCCTGGACAACTTTGCGACTTGGTGCGACCCTGTCTCAAACATTTAAAATGTTTTAAAGATTAAATAAAAATCATAGAAAGAGCTGGAGATGTAGTTCAGTATGAAGGCCATGAGTTCAATCCTCAGCATCAAAAACAAAACAAAACAGAACCAAAACCTCTCCTACTGCATTCTTCCCTTCCAAGAGCACTTGACCATCCCGCCAGCTGCCAGGTCCCACTCACTCCTCAGGACTGAACCCAGGCTCACCTCCTCCAGCTGGGCCAGGTGCCACTTTCAGCATGGGAGGGCTGCTGCTGGCCTGTGCTTCCAGTAATGAGGTGTTCCCAGTCAGGAGAGCTGGGCCCACTTCCCGATTCATGTGGTGCCGGCCTTCTAACAGCCTCCTCATGGGGGCTGTGGCCTGGGAGCCCTCCCCACCTGGCACAGGTGGGGGACAGGAATGAGGGCAAGCTCTCAGAAGACTCCTCCTGCCTCCCCCCATTTTGGAGTTAACAGCAGTAGGTGCTTTCTGGAGGTCAGAAATGCTAACACCAGCAACTGTCATCTGCCACTCTGGTTCTTCTTCCTTCCCTGGTCACATGGGCTAAGCATATCCTCACGTTCCCAGGAATGTGCCACTTTGGAGCCAGCCATAGGCTAGTATCAACACTCTCTGGACCTCCAGACTTTCTCTGTGGACGTGGATGCCAACAGCCTGTACCCCACTCCCACACACAGTCCTTCCCACTGTGGGGACAGGAGGAGCAAAGGTCCACCTGACTCAACAGAGCACCTGACAGAGGCCTTCTGGGCCCCAGGACCCCCCTAAATATCCTCACCTACCAGCTCCCTGCCTGGTAAATGGAAACATGCAATTTCTACCTCACAGCACCAGGGAAAGATTAAATAAGATCATGTAGTAAAACATTATTATTTGGCCTAGAGCAGGGGCTGAACAAATGGGAATTCCTGCTCTGAGTCCCAGAGAGCAAAGTCCAGCCCCAGGACTCAGGCCAGGTCTCCCATGCAGCTCCTTCCAAACCCAGCATCCCAACTCTCCCTCAGGACTGTCTCTGCAACCACTTCAGGACGTGGTGTGGGGACACCGTAGAGGTCAGGCGCAGTAAGCCATGCCTACCATCAATGTCTTTCCCTCAGCATCAAATCTGACCCCTTCCCATCACCCCACAGGGCCCTCCTTCATGAACCAGACCCTGTCACCCCTATACTTCACAGACTCCAAACTCATCCCTTGCTCTCTACACCCACCACACCCATCTCCCTTCTGACCCCCAAGCCTGTCAGTTATCCCCACCACAGCACCTTGCCACTGGGTCCTTTCTCTTTTAGAAAGACTGCAGTGCCAGATCACTGTCTCCAGCAGCCTTTCCCCCTGCCTGCCTTATCTTACCCCACAAACGTCCAGCCACTCCCATTCCGCCTGTTAATCCCAACAGGCCTGAGTGATCCTGTACATTCACTATCTCCTCCAGGTCTGCCTGAATCCTCCTGAGTTTCAAGTGCACTCAGTGAATGACCCCCCTCTTGCAGGTGAGGACACTGAGGCACAGAGGAGCTAAGAGGCTTGCCCCAACCCCTACACTTTTGAAGTGACATATTTATACTCAGACCAGCAAAAAATAGAACTCCCACCCTGGGCTGGAGGCTCAGGTCCCAGGGGCAAAGTTAAGGCTGCACAGGAATCTGGCAAGCCTGGGGGTTACCGGAAAAGGAGGGCCCCAGAGTACCAGGGCACAGAGCACTTTCAGAATGATGTCCCCAGCAAGGGCTGCTTTCCCAGCAGGAGGACACTAGGCTGGAAAGAGAAACCGAAAACCTGAGCTCCCAAAGCCAAGGGTGATCTCTGCTCCTCAGATGCTGCCCTGGCCCTTTCAGGGCTGGCTACCAGGGCTGGACTGTCTCACATGGGAGGCTGTGTCTGGCAAGCTATGGACACAGGGTGCTTTGCCTTGTGACCCTCACTGTGCTCTGGGCTGTGCACACACTGCTGTTCTGTGAGGTCCAAAACTTTCAGAGCCCAAGGTGCGGAGGAGATCAATGGGACCCAGAGAGGGTCAGACACTCAAGCAAGCTCACGCAGCTGGGCAGCAGCAGGCCTGGAGCCAGAATCTGCGTCAGTCTTGCCATGCAGTCTGAGCTTCCCACTGGCAGGCTCCCTGTGAGCCTAGCACCCAGCCGGTCAGGGTGGGCAGGCAGCTGTATGTTTCTTTTCCCATTCTGGCATCTGGATTTGGTTTCATTTTGAACTCAGAACACCAGAAAATGAAACCAAAGCCATACAACTGTCACTGGGAGTTATGAGGAGAACCAGTGCCCAGAAAGTTGCGCCTGACTCCCCAGGGATTTGCAACCTAGTTGCGGGGAAGAACGGGCCAGGCCCCCTGTACAGGTCAGGAAACCGAGACTCAGAAGGCCCAGGGTCATGAAGAAGATGGCTGATGCAAGATCTGCAGCCTCCCCAAGCTTATTAACGAAAGAGAAGCAGAAGCCTTTCTCCCCTCTTCACCAGGCTAGCCCAGGACACAGATAGCTCTCTTGACCTAAGACAGACCAGGATGGAGACCCCCAGCAGTGGAGTCCAGGACAGAGTTTACAGAAGCATGGATCGGGACATGAACCCCAGTTTTGCCCCTTCTGAACAGTGTATCCTTGAGCAAGTGGCTCTGCCTCTGGGTTTTAGTCTCCACATATTTAAGATGGGTGGCTTGGATTGTTCTGCAAAATCAGTGGTGTAGACTGCGAAGCCTTCAGCACACTGTCAGCTTGGGATAACAGTACATGAAATGAAGGTGGGGCTCCTTGGGGATGGACAGCGAGGGCGGGGGTGAAAGGAAGCCCCAGGCTGGGGGAGAGATGGCAGCTCTCCTGAGGCGCCACTGAGGCTGCCAGTGTGGGAGTGGAAGGAGTATTAGAACCATCAGGTATTTATAGGCCTCCCTCTAGGCTTGCCAGGGAGCAGCACTGGGTGGGAGAAAACCCTACAGGAGCCAGCCCAACCTGATCACCCTCTCCAGGCCAAGAGCACTAATCCCAGCACACACGACGTGTGCTACCCCCCACTGCCAGCAGGCTCCCTTCCGCTGCTCTGCTATGCCCTCTCTGGCCCACACTCCTTGGGCTAGGGCTTCTAAAGTGAACCCAAGGAACATGCTGTCACACCAACAGGCACACAGGGATGCCTATATATTACATACCAGGGTAGCTGTATGAACCATACCCTTCCTCACTGAATCCCCACACAAACCGTGCAGGAGATACTGTCATCCTCGTTCACAGATGCAAAAATCAAGTCAGACAGGCTAATTCCATGCTCAAGGTCACAGGCTGGAAAGTGGCAGGGCTAGAAGTGGATCTGGGTTCAAAGCCTAGCTTTTAACCAGGATTGTACTTTATGTTTTACCACCACCCAACAAGCCTCATCCCACCCACCTAGCAGGGGCTCAATCACCCTCTCAGAACGACCACAGCCTCTGACCCCCAGTTCAAGCACGGCTCAGCACCTCTTCTCACCCTCTGTTGGAGATCAGATCCAGGACGGCCACACCAATTTAAGGAACTGGTGCAGTCCCAAGCCAGGCTAGTTCTTGGTCACCAGCCAGTGTTCAGGAGAAAACTGAGGCAGTCTGGGGATAGGGAGACCTAGAGCAGGACAGTCCAGAGGAGCCATTTGGGCTGCAGCCTGAGAGCTGTCTGTAGAGGGCAGTGTATGCCAGTGTGAGGCCAGTCACCAAGCCCTCAGCCCACAGACATCTTTCGCTTGGCCACTCTTGACTCTGGGGCTCCCCACTGGAGTTCATTCGAAAACGCTCAAGGTACCAGCCAGGCATTTACTCCTTGGCTTTCGACCATGGAAGAATCACTAAGTCACAGCTGCACAAACCAGCCCTCCAGCACAAGTTCAAGGCATGTGGGGGTGGAGCAAGGGAGGGCTTATGAACGGCAGATGCTTCATTGAGCAGCTCAAGGGGACATCTATAAGGTGGCGGGAGTCGGGGTTCAGGATCACCACTTCTGAGAATGCACATTTCACTGGTCTCATTTGGAGGTGCCCAGCTCTCCCCTCTCCAAAATAAAAACAAGGAGGGCAGGAGCCAGGACCCTATCCGCTGGCCACTGCAAACTGCAGCCTGTTTCTCCAAGCTTTCTCCAAGCAGGAGCACCGAGAAGAGTGAATCCAGCCACTGGGGCCCTTATGTGGCCGCGCCCCGTTTCCGAGGAACTGGGTTAGGTAGGAGTCGGGCGCCCCTCCCACACTGCCGAAGGGTTCCTTTGAAGCCTGTGGTCTGGCCACCGCTTCCTGGGAAATCCAAGCCAAGACCAGGCGCAGCGGCCAGCCGGGAGGGGCGCGGAGGATACGGGCGCCAGGGGCTCAGACCTGCTGGGCCGGAGGGGGGGCCTTTTAGGCCTTTGGATCTGCGGCTGGGAAAGCCGGGCGGGGGCTTACGGGAAGACCTCCGGAAGCTTCCTGGAAGGATCGGCTCGGCTCGAGCTGGCCCAAGGCAGGAAGGCAAGCAGGCAGGCACCTGGAGGAAAGGAGGCGTGTCAGCGTCGGTGCCTTTCTGAAGGGCCGGACTGCAGGACTCAGGGACCAAAGGTACCCGGGGCAAATGTGAGGCTATTAGGTCCCAAGGAGGAGTCGGAGAAGAGGCCAGGAGACCCTGGGGCGGAACAGAGCCCCTGGACGGAGGGATGCTACGACAGGTTCGCGGTGAGGTGGGGACACAGGGCCTCCCTCGGGAGGGTCCCACGCAGCGTGGAGCTGAGGTGGGAGTTGCAAGCTCCAGGCACCACCGCAGAAAGAGAAAACGAAACTGACAGGGGGCGGGGCTCCGTGGGGCCACGCCCCCAAGCCCCGGTTTAAAAGACTGGCGCAGGGGCGGGCACCAGCAGAGAGAGCTGCGGCCGTGGCAGCGGCGCGGCTGCTGGCTCCGGAGCATGCGCAAGAGCCGCCTCGGAGTCCCTTGCCGCCCCTCCCGCGGCGCCCCGCGCCCCGCCGCCAGGTGAGCAGGCAGCGGGCACGGAGCGGGAGGGTGGAAGAAGGGAAGGGTTGCGAGGGCCGGCCAGGTCGGGGAGCCGGCCGTAGAGTCGCAGCCGCCAAACCCCTGGCCCCCGCCAGCAGCACCCGGGGCGCGCCCCCCGCGCGCGGGGCCCCCGCAGCTCGGCCTTTCGCCTGCCTTTGCCCAAAGCGCCTGGATCAGGCGCCAAACCCCAGCGTGGCCAGCAGGCGGCGGCCGCGCGGCGAGCGGGCGGACCGCGGAGTCCGGAGAGCTGCTGGAGTCGGGCACTTCTCCACGCCCCCCTCTCCCAGCCACCGAGAGGCTGGACTCCGCTCCCAGCCGCCTGGAAGGGCTCCTCGGGCCGAGAAACCCGTTTTCCAGAGGCGCCTACTGAGGCTCGGGGGCCGCGTGGACTTGGTGCTCCGGCTTCTTCCCCCAGGGCCGGGTCGCCCCTCTCCTGCCGCCGCGTGACCCCTCACCTGCAGCCCCACCCAGACGCGCCGGCTCACTGCCTCTGTCTCCTCATCAGCGCACCCCCGGACGCTATGGCCCTCCCTTCCGGCTGGCCCCTCGTGTAGGATGGTAGCACACAACCAGGTGGCAGCCGACAATGCAATCTCCGCGACAGCAGAGCCCCGACGGCGGCCAGAGCCTTCCTCCTCTTCCTCCTCCTCGCCCGCGGTCCCCGCTCGCCCTCGGCCCTGCCTGGCGGCGCCGGCCCCGGCCCCGGCCCCGGCCCCGACCCCCGGCGACACACACTTCCGCACGTTCCGCTCTCACGCGGATTACCGGCGCATCACGCGCACGAGCGCGCTCCTCGACGCCTGTGGCTTCTACTGGGGACCCTTGAGTGTGCACGGGGCGCACGAGCGGCTGCGCGCCGAGCCCGTGGGTACCTTCCTGGTGCGCGACAGTCGCCAGCGGAACTGTTTCTTCGCCCTCAGCGTGAAGATGGCCTCGGGCCCCACGAGCATCCGCGTGCACTTCCAGGCCGGCCGCTTCCACCTGGACGGTAGCCGCGAGAGCTTCGACTGCCTCTTCGAGCTGCTGGAGCACTACGTGGCGGCGCCGCGCCGCATGCTGGGCGCCCCGCTGCGCCAGCGCCGCGTGCGGCAGCTGCAGGAGCTGTGCCGCCAGCGCATCGTGGCCACTGTGGGCCGCGAGAACCTGGCGCGCATCCCGCTCAACCCAGTCCTCCGAGACTACCTGACCTCCTTCCCCTTCCAGATTTGACTGGCCGCGCCCGCGCGCACGCAGCATTAACTGGGCGCTTTATTGTTTTCCATTATTAATTATTATTATTTGCCTAGAGTAAATGGGTGCCCTCCCCACCTGGGTTGGAGGGAGTGGGTGTGGGGGGCAAGGCACCTTCTGCTCTCAGCTGAAGACCAAGCTGCAGACCCTTCCCCACCTCTTGGGGGGCACTCCCCTCCTGGTGCTCCCTCTGGGTCCCCCTGGTTGTAGCAGCTTAACTATCTGGGGCCAGGACCTAACTCACCTCCTACCTCTTCATGTTTACATACAACCAGTATCTTTGCACAAACCAGGGGTTGGGGAGGCTCTCTGGCTTTATTTTTCTGCTGTGCAGAATCCTATTTTATATTTTTTACAGCCATTTTAGGTAATAAACTTTATTATGAAAGTTTTTTTTTTTAAAGAAAAAAAGGTTTCTAGAGCGTGTACTTTGGCCAAAAATTGTCCTGGGTTCTGAACAAGTCCAGGGAAGAGGGCACCACAGATGGACCTCTGGCCTGATGGTGGTATGCGAGTGCGCTGTGGGGCTGGCGCCTGCTCGCGGCTGAGCGCCTGTCCGGGCTGGTCTTGTTTTGGTGGAGTTACTGTGTGTGTCCTGCAAAATGGAGCTCACAGTGGGGCTCTTCTCTGTGCCAGGCCTTAGTCTGTGCTTCCCCTGCTCCCGTTTCTTTAATCTTAGAGGTACGGTCCTGTGAATTCCACACAGGCTCCTGCCCCACTTTACAGAAAGGAAACCCGAGGTAGGAGTAGCTTGCTGCTGACCACTTCTGTGTCAAAGATAACAGTCAGGCCCTTTTGGCTGGCCATTCAGAATCAGCTTGAAGTGGATGACAGAAAGGAAACTTCTCTGCTTCTATGACCACAACTTCTTCCAGGAAGAGGGCGGGGGCGGGGAGGGGCGCAATGAGTTTTGGAAGGAGTGGTATTGCCCGGATCAGAGACGCAGCCATCAAGGGAGACCTACTTCAGTGGGATGATGAGGATGCAGGGCTGGTTCTGACTTCCTTCGTCCCACCCTGTTGTCTTGTGTACTTTTTGGTGAGCACACAAGTTGGAGCCAGAAAGAGGCTTTGTGGTCTGTGGTGGCAGGAGGGCCCCTCCAGTGGCTTTGGGCAATTCCCGTTGCCTCCCTGGGCCTCTGCTTCTGCCTCTAAAATGGGCAGCTTTCTGTGCAGCAGGGAGGGAGGGTGCTGTAGGACGTGTGTGGGGCTGACCCACATCATCAGAAAGTACCCAGAACACAGGGTTTATGGCTGCTTTGCTGCGGGCCTGACAGATAGTGTTGTGGGAACTCGGGCTACAGTCAGGGAACTGAGTCACTGCCAGGTTTGCTTTAACTGCCTCAGGGGCACAGCACACCCCATCTTTAGAAGCTGGATGGCCTGCTACAGCCTGGGACATGTTTATAATGGAATGTCCCAATGTTTAATAATACCTTTCAGGTTTTGAAAGTACAGCATAGAACCGGAACAGTCAGCGCTGGTCTTGGGGTTAAAAGGGCTGCAGCCTTCACAGGTGAGCGTGGCTGGAAGAGATGCTGGATCTCAGAGCATGGCCGTAGGTGGGGTGGGAGGGAAGGAGGTGGTGTCTTATCTGTACATCCAAACAACTGCGACTGTCTCCTTTTTCACTGCCCTTTCCCTCTCTGCTGTGTGGGTTAGTGATCTGTCCTTGTCCTCCCCCACCCCGGGCAGTGCCTGGAGAGAGGGAGAATTCTAAGAAGGCAGTGCTTGGGGACCAGGCGTGAATAGTCACAACTGCAGGCCCTATCCTGTTTAATCCTCACCCACCAGCCGGTGAGCTGGATGTCCCTCCCCTGTGTACAGATGGGGACCTGGGCACAGATCGGCAAAGGAAGGCTCCCAGCGAATGGCAGAGCCAGATTTTTCACACCCAGGCAGTGCTGCTTCAGAACCTGGGTACCACCGAGCACCATGCACCCCTAACGGTCGCAGTAATAATAATAAGACCAGCAGCTGCTGCTAGTTTTATATATAGCACCTACCTTTCTGAGCCCCCTTGTCCCCTATTTAAAGCACGCAACCTTCACCTCAGCCTGACTTCAGTACTAGTCACGTCCCCAACTTTAGAGAGGAGGAAACGGGTCCTCAGCTAAACAGGGAGGGACTGGCAGGTGGTTTACAATCTGCTAAGGGTTTTCCCCACTGTGAAAAAGTTCAGAACTCCTATTTTCATCACATAAGTGCTTGATATACAAGCTCAGTCCCCTCACAAGGCCTGAAGCAGAACAGCTCAGGAAAAAGATCCCTCTGGCCACGCTCTCCAGAGCTGGCCCCTTCTTCCCTTTATGAGTCATTTTTAAAAGTCCATGCTAGCATATGTAAAGTGACCCAAAAGCCCCCAGGAGCTGTGCTGCAGGCTCTGTATGACTGAAATCGAGTGTAGACGGCACTGCAGGGGAGAAAGCTGTATGTGTGGGGGGCGCGCACGCCGCGCCGGGCAGCTTCCTGGTGCTGCAGTCTGTATGTTGCTCTCAAACCTCAACTTCATGATTCAGCAGCACTTACGTCAATGAACGAAAATGAAAAGTGAGAGCAGAGTTGGGGTGTCTGAGGGACTGAGCAGGGGCGAGCAGGAGGAAGGAAGGAGTGACTCCCGGAATGAGAAGGGCTGATGAAGGAGCCACCTCCGGCCAGCCTCACCCCCAACCTGGTGACGCTGCTCCCATTTCACTGAGGAGCAAGTGGAACCTACTCGGTGTCACACAGCTCCAAAGTGATGGCCCGACTTGGACCAGGTCCATCTACTCTAACAGATGGGTTTCCGAAAGAATTGGAGAGGACACAGGAGGGCGTCCTGGGAACATGCGTATTCCTGGGCTCCCTCGGCCTGTTGGATTTCCCCGCCCTGTTCAATTTCCCCGCCCCGAGGAGCCGGTCCTGCTTCTATCCCAGGAAGTGGTCCGCCAAGCCTCTTCTGTGAGGTACTAGACATAAAGCGCTCAGAGCCTGGCATGCAGCAGGCACTAAACGCATCTGTGCATGACGAGGTGCTCCATAGGTGAGGGTGGAGGCTCCTGTGACAAACATGTTCCTGGCATTTGCCTAAGCTCAGAGGATACAAGAATTAATAAGCCAGAGGGGATCTGGTCTGTGTCCTCTCGGAGTCACACGCAGGGCCTTGAAAGAAAGGAACAAGAACATTCCAAGGAGAGTACTCAGATGAAAAGAGGGTGTTGGGCAAGGGTGGAGCTGCTGTAGAGAAAGGTCAGGAAGGCTCCTCTGGGATGGCACTGAAATTGTGACTGGAATGACAGCACAAAGCCAGCCAGTAAACACGGGGGAAGGCCAAGAGGCAGAGGGGACGGCAAATGCCTTGCGTGCGAATGGGTTCTAGCAGTAAAGGCAGGGTGGGGGTGGGCGCTGTAAAAAGGCTGGGTGGCGTCCAGGGCACTTGGGGACCCTGTCAGCCTTGTCAGGAGTGGATCTGAAGTGTGCTAGGGGCCTGGGTGGGACCCCATCTAACATGTGACCAGATCCCCTGGCTGCAGGGTGGGGATGCGCTGAGGCAGTGTGGGCTTCCTGCCTGTGTATGTGTCTGCGGGGAGGATGGCTCCATCTTGGGAGACCTCTCTGCTCCAGCCTGTCAGACCCCACCTTGTGGAATGCTGGGACCAAGTGTGGGCCAGGCTGCAGCCAGGAGCCCTATGTGTGAGTCGCCCAGCTGGGGTCTGAGAGCCACAGCGTATGTTCCCAGACCGAAAGGGGCTTCCAAGAGCCTCACTCACCTGAGCGGGGCAGAGCTGGCCTCAACTCTGCGGAAGGACACGGGGGACCTGAAAGGAGACAGACGGGGCAGTGTCACTTGGATACCCGCTTACATCCCCTTTGCTTGGTTGGCTCCACACCAGACCCCCCACTAACATCACCTGAAGCCTCCCCAAAAGTGGGCTCAGACGACTTTAGGAACGTCAAGGTCCTGTTCTCACCAAAGGAAATCACATGGGGTGCCTGAGACAGGCACTCAAACTGCTCCTCCCAGCCCCAGCCCTGTGACCTGACCCACAACCATGATGGGAAACATGGCTTCCAGACTCCACAGTGAATGGGTAGCCCCAAAACAACCTCCTCCTGCACCCGGGATGGGGTCAGGTGCCACCACTCCTGCCCTCCAAGGGCTCAGAAGTCCACCATCCAGGAAGGCCCAGAGGTGCGCCATGGCACTCACCAGCTCGGTCCTGTCTCCAGGCCTTTCCATATGCTGTTCCGGGGTCTGGTGCAGTGTGGTGGCATTTGGCTGCAGAGTCATGGTGGTGAGCATCGCCATTGTTGGCCGCCACGTGCAGGTGCTAATGACGTCACCACGTTGCCCTCTCCACTACAAGCTCTCGAGCCCACTGGATCAGAGTTTAGCCCTGTTCAATGTCACTCCGCACTGCTTGGCTCCATTTGGGTCAGCACTCCTAGTGATCTCCAAGTGATCTCCAAGTGATCTCCAAGCTGTGCACTACCTACTGCCTACCGCGTCCTGCCTGCAGGGCTCTCAGATCTTTCTGAAGATCTCAAGGCCCAGAGAGGACATGTCCCAAGTCAAGCCAGGCCAAAGCCATGGTGATAGGGCTTTCCTGGCCCAACGGTCACACTGAGCCTTCCCTGTCCCAGCTCAACTTTCAGTTCCTGTCTTTTCCTTCCCTGGAAGAGGTTAACTACCCCACCTCAAGTGACGTTAAATAACAAAATGCATAATGTGAGGTGGCTGCCTCCTAGGTATGATGGACCCTCTCTGTGTTATGATTCTTGATTTGCTGCTGTTATGAAAGAATGCTTTTTTTTTTTTTTTTTTTTGAGACAGTATCTTGCTGAGTTGCCCAGGCTGGGCTCAAATTCTCCTGGGCTTGCAATCCTCCCACCTCAGCCTCTGGAGTGCTGGTATTACAGGTGTGTACCACTACCCCCAGCAAAACGCCATTTACTGAGCACCTAGTGGGTGCTAGCAGTTGGCCCAGGGAGGATGGTGAGAGAGCTGAAGCCTGGAAAGGTGAAGGGACATCCCTGTTGAAGTGTGAGGGGGCAGCGCCGGGGTTAGAGTGCGGGTGCACTGGATGCCCAAGCCCTTGATCTTACTACACACAAGTGTGCTCAAGGGTTCACAGGTGTGTGCTTTGGTCCCTTTGTTCCCTGGGCTGCCTTGGAGGACACTCAGAGCCACAGACTCATCTGGGGCTCAGCGCCTCTCCCTTGGCTTGCCTTCCCCACAGGCAGTGGGCTGGTAACTTACTTGCAAGGCTCCATTAAAGCCCAGCCTGGGACAGTGATCAGGGCTGCTTGGTCAGAAAGAACCCTGGGAAGGGCCCCTGGGAAGCCAGGGGGACTATGGAGGGAAATGAGGATGAGCCAGGATGGGAAGCAGCCAGACAGCTGATCCTAAGCAAGCACAGGGACAT